GAGCTCCAAGCTCATAGCTACTTTCGGTTTGATTCCATGTGCTTCATGCCTTTGCAACTCCACTTCTCCTGAAGATGAAACCCAGGACAAGGCCAATCTGAAACTAACCAGCCCATCTTTCCGTATTATTGACGATCTCAAGGGTTCAAATCCGACTACTACTATCCTGCTATCCCTCCGTGATCGAGGTCAAGGGCACTATCACCACAGGGTCACAGTGCCTTCCACAGACATTTCCACTGTCGTAATTCGAGCTCCTGAGGAACAGCAGCCCGATGGTGCACCTGTGTCCAGTGGGTCCCTCACGGCAAGCTTTGGGAAACGCCCTGTCACAGGTATCTGGTGGACTTGGAATCGTCAGGCCATTCGGTGGAGACTAAGGCGCCAGCCTCCATCTTACTGGACGTTCTACCGCGTCATAAAACACACGTGTGTGTGGATTTCGCCATGCTTATTGGTGACCAGACGGATGTAGATCTATGCGCTTTAAATGATTCACTAACTGAATGTGCGAGTATTTCCGCCTTGCGAAAATACACTTTTTGATAAGACAACAAGGTTTCTGACATGTCTCCTGTCATTTTGAGCAAAGACCTGCCTGCACAGTGCAAGTCTCGTCCTCTTACAATGGCTTCGGATGGGGCTGTCGCAGTTCCATGAAGCGCGGTCTTGCTAAGCGTGGTCTTAAGAACACCAAGAATCCCCAAAACTGCAACGCTGCAGAAGAAGAAGCCATGTTGCCAAACAGAGAAATAGGTAACTTGAGCCGTTGAAGCAGCCACCCACTAGAAAAGCCAACCAACCCATGACCGACTGCAAGATGCACAGACAACCGCGTATGGCGCAGCAAATATACCGTTGGTGGATCTACCATTTCATGCGCTGTTATCAAAACAGAGGCTTAATAAAGACTAGCGCTTTGGTAAAAAAAACGGTGGCGATGCCAAAACAGTGACAGCCACTTGACTGAACCATTACCGAATTTGGTATTATGGAACGTGAATGAATGACGAAGGTATGATACTGGTGCAAACATGATAAACATGAGATGCATGTCATGTAACAACACGACTGCATGCCACACTGATGATGCGCTCATAGCAGTGTCGCTAGCTTCACATATGCCGAATTTAGTATTATGTGACGTCCATGAATGACGAAGGTATGTGACTGGTGCAAACATGATAATCATGAGATGCGTGTCTTGTGAGAACATTACTACATGCCACAGTCAAGGCGCCAAAACATTTTGATGTGACACGCCGGCGTTGCCACGCCAGGCACCGGTCCTGCCATAGACTCGCAGGCGCACGCCGTGCTGCATTGTTTTGATGCATCCACGTTACAGTGCATCCGGCATCCCTCCGTCACAAAAAGAGGGAGACGCAGTGTTGTCTTGGTAACGCATTGGCGAGAAATACACCATATTGCCTTTCGCGCCGGTTGCTTTCGGTCCACGCTGACAGACGCTGGTTGCACCTGGCGTCAGACTATAAAGTGCTCGCGTTTTGCTAACATAGCTTTGCTTTGCCCAGCGTGGGCGCACGTCAACGCTACATTGGAGTATATTGGGCTCTTCATAATGCACTCTCAGCCGTTTTGCTAGCTCCACACATACCATTTGGTTGTTACGTGACATCAATAGAAGACGAAATATATGACTGGTGCAAACATGATAATCCTGACACGCGTGTTATGTAAGAACATGATAACATACCACGCTCATAGCGTGCTCGCGGCCGTTTCGCTAGCTTCACATTTACTAAACTTGGTGTCACATGACGTGAATAGATGAGGAATGTAAGCGACACATCCAAACATGATAATCATGACACAGAAGTCATGTACGGCATCATTTACCTCCACCTCGTAACGTTGGGCTGATTTTAAACTGACATATCAACATTTCTCATTCGTGCTTCGCATATCATCGATTCCCACTGTACGTGGGTTGTGCAAATTTTTTATTACTTTGCCGCCAACCCTCCTAAACCACCTCGGTTCGCTTCCCACCCCCTTCGCCCATTGCGGCGTGCCTATTTCTTTTCTTTCTTTCTGTGCGCCGCATGTCCCCCATCTTATCTGTGCACCACAGCGGGGTTGGGGTTCACGAGTGTTGCGAGTGTAGAGACATCATAGCTGATAAGCACGATGGTCACCAAATTGCCCGTGCCAACCAACATAGGTCGCTTCCTGTGAACCCCCTTCCCCTCTTCTTTTTTAGCCTACTTTCTTTTTTCTTCACTCTAACTGTCCCTTCATTCCCCGTTACTCAATGAGTGCACGCTTTTAGGCACCCCTCAAGATCACAAGCAGATACCACTGTCGTTGTTAAAGGATTGCGAGATATATAGTTGCAAAGTGTTTTTATGGCTTACGTGGGCGGCCCAGGGACAACTTGCAAAAGGTAGCGCCATCAACCACCAAAAATGAGTAAAGTGCAACAAAGAAGCTGTTTCCAAACAGCGTACGGGTATGTAAATTGCAAAAGGATAAGTGACCCGACTTTTTTTTTTGCCCCCCCCCCCCTACATTACCCCATTCTTTTCTTCTCCCAAAAAAGTTCTCATAAAATTTACCCTGCGTAATAAGCACACCCCAACTTTGCTCCAATTTTTCGAGAAAAAAAAAAGTGTTCATAACGCGAGAAAGTACGGTAGGTTACTACGAAACTACTTAACAGACCACTAACAGTATGTTTATATCAATCAAGAGATATCTCGGCGTGCCAAGGTTAACAAAGGTGTGCCACAAAGATCGATACTTGGCCCTCTCTTGTTTATAGTTTATGTCAATGACTTATGTGATATTCTGGCTTCTTCTAATTAATCATGTATGCTGATGACACCAATATTTTTTTTTGCTGGTTACTCAATTTCTGAACTTGAAAGCACTGTAAACACATATATAAGTAAGCTGTCTTGCTGGCTTAAACTAAACAAGTTGCGGCTAATTGTTAGTAAAACTAAATCAGTGTTGTTTGCGTCTATCAATAAGCCACGAGATATAAGCCTTAACTGTCTCCTTTGAGACTCAGCCTTTAGAACAAGTAAAGGTACAAAAATTCTCGTGCGTGTGGTCCAGGAACACCGTTTCTGGAATGAACACATAAACAGAGTAGCAGCCGATCTAAGTAGGTGCAGTGATGACTGTGTTTTGTATAGGCCTATTACTAGTGCAGATGATTGTTGCGTTTTGCAAAATGATCTGAAACTCATCCGTCACTGGTGCCGTAAGTGGAATACGACTTCAAATCTAGATAAGACTGTTTTTATGTCATTTACAAAGGAGAAGAATATACATTCTTTCAGTACACTTTAGGAAATGTTGCTTTATCTCAAGTGTAAGAATATAAATATCTTGGTGTATATTTGACACATTATTTTCTTTTGAAAGACTGCCCTTCGGCATAACAAGCATAGATAAAAACAGACGCTCATCAGACATAAGCAAACAAGTTGCACTCATTCATAAAGTTTAACAAGAAATAGAGAAAAGGTCTTGTCCACCTTTGTCAGTCCGAAGCGGGACCAGGACAGTGACCAGTTATTCCTTGATAGACGAAGGCACATTTTCCCTGGCACTGGGGCAAATGACACACTTGACACACTTGCTCTGGTTGTGCCAGGGCTCTAAGCCCCGGCACGACCAGAGCAAGTGTGTCACCGTCCAGAGCAAAGTGCGTTATGGGTCACGACCAGAGCAAGTGGCCAGCGTTGCCATAGCCCTATAAAATCTTGTCCTGGCTAGCACTTTGGAACTATGTGTGTGTTTCGAATGCCAAGCTTGACTGGTAAATTCACATGTGATGCATAAGCGCAAGTTGGAGCCGGATAACAGTCCTATGGTGACACTGGCTGAAAGCACCAGTTTTGCTCAATAGTCAAGGTATGTTGCAGTTCGACTGAGATAAAAGGCACGCTTTTCAATGTTTGGCTTTGTTTTCATCTCAATAACATGTACCTGGTGAATGTTGCTTCCGCAGTCTGCAATGCACGTGCTGTAGACATTCTGAACTGTCCAGGAAGGTCTTTGCGAGGTTTTGCATAAAAAAAGCACAAACTTCTAGGAGAAGAAAAGTGCACAACATGCTTACGGCCCCACTTGAGGTGGAAAGCTTTGCGTTTGATTTGCGAAGCGTCTGCTAGCATGGCAGTTCAAGATGTTGCTTCTCATGCTTGCGACAGACAGCGCGGTGCGCTGCCTAATTATGGCAGCACATACTGAACTTGCAGTGTTCTGGTCTATAGGGTTGCAGTAAAAAAGTGACAGAAATGCTCAAGACTCAACAACGCTCAAACTAGGTTAAAGGGTTACCAATGACCAAAAGATAAGTTTGTGCTGTCATCCTTAGCAAGAGAGTGAAAAGCATCCCATTATAGGAGTAGAAAGGCTCTTCATACAAGTTTGGTTTTTAGCTTTCAATTTTATGAAAAACTGGCTTTATGTTTTGAGAATAGTTACTTCGCTTCTTCATGGGGTTGACCGACCTCCCTCTTCACCACCGTTGTCTCCATCACTCCTGCCAGAAGACCAACGCATTGACAAGAGCAGGGAGGAGAACAACGACGGAGAGAGAGACAACCACTATAATAACTTCAGAACTGGCTGGACAGCGACCACCTGAAGAAGAGACCGAACGGTTCTCTAGATGCAGGGCCAGTTTTTAAAATTATAGACTAAAAACTAAACTTGGATGGGGAGTCCTTTTATTCTGATAGTTTCACTCAGTGAGATGGATTCTTGTCAAATATGTTTATCTTTAAAACATGCAATTACACTCAGTGGCCTTGAAATTGTACACTGAATTGCTGCAGATTTGTGTAGAACCTAGTCCTACTCAATATATACATGCTATAGGATATTGGCACCTTTGCGGTGAACTCAAACACAATGCATGAGTACAATGCAAGTTACAATGTGGCAACCGCAACCCTGTGCACTCGACATATCTGTCATGACGCAAGAAGCTTTGGTTTGCACACAATGCAAAGACCAACCTGTGCAAGCATAGTTTCCACCCAGTGGGGCAGCAGTGATGACCACAGCAAGGGCCCCTTGGGGTGCTTCTTTTCCACCAGGGTGCGCACCAGCAGACCCACTGACAGGGCCGTGCCCTGACACTGCACACATCAGGACACTCTAAACACCAATTCCTCAAAAAAAAAAAAAAAAAAGTAGGACTGCTTTTCACGATGCCAGATAGCTCTGGTTAGAGATGGCCCCCTATTATAAAACATGTAGAAATGTTTGCAAAGCTTCTGGTGCATACCAGTGGCCATTTACTATATTTACTCGAATGTGATGCAACCACCACTTTCCAGGGTAAAAATAATACAAAAGAAAACTAAATGAAAAATAAAGAAAGAATTGTGAGCATCACTGTCCTTTTTGGACAGTGTGGGGGACATGTCAGTGGTCAGGTTCTGCTAACAGTCCCACCTTGCAATGCATTCCCACAAAGGTGGCTGTTTATTACACTTTAACAATGCTTCCATTCTTGTCTAGCACTGCAGATTACATATATTGTAGTAATACTAAATGCTTTGCACATAAATTCATCAGTCAATTCACACACAATTTTCGTATATTTCACTGAAGAGTACATTAGAGTACATTACTATGCTTACGTGGTCACTGCCACGTTTGATCATGTGGTGAAACACCGCATACCTGAGCTTGGCTTGTTACCACAATAAACAAGCAGTGTAAATATAATTAAAAAAGCCACACCACCAGAGGAGTTGGGACTAAAAGCCAAATAAACATAGGTCTCAGCTATAACAACCATATATAATTCTTTTAAGTACACTGTCATTTGTCAAAATGCAGCGAGTACAACTGCACCATACGAGTGTTTGAAGGCACTGCTGGAAACATACTAAGACACTGACATGCAAGCTTTCTGTACCCAAAACAGATCTCTATCACGAGCAGTCACTCTGCAACTTTGTTTTTTTCTCCTTCATTTGTTTAGTGGCTTCGAAGTCACAGGCCGTCCAGTTTCGCCTCAATTCCATTCTTCCGAGCAATGTATGATTAGTTGATTCGTGGGGTTTAACGTCTCAAAACCATTATATAATTATGAGACACACCGTAGTGGAGGGCTCCGGAAATTTCGACCACCTGGGATTCTTTACCGTGCACCCAAATCTGAGTACAGAGGCCTACAACATTTCTACCTCCATTGGAAATGCAGCCGCCACAGCCGGGATTTGATCCCGCGACCCGCAGGTCAACAGCCGAGTATTTTAGCCACTAGACCACCGTGGCGGGGCCCGAGCAATGTCTTTAGCTTACCCATTTTATACAACATGCGTCATAAGTGTGAGACATTGCCACATGCTTATCTCACCAGGTTCTTGACTAACAGTACAGTTCATGTTTTGAAGGTCGATAGCCTGCACAAAAGACACAGCACTGATCTTCAGTGTGAATGGAACTGTTCATAGTCCTGCCGTTTAAAAAATTACGAGTACATACTACATGGTACAGTTAAAGTCTACTGAACCTGCAGTAATATTTGGATATTTTATTTTTACACATCTTCACCTGTGATTAGGACCTCCTGTAAACCAACCGAGTTCAAGGTAGAGATATGATAGAGAGAGCACAAGCAATGTGTTTATGCAGAAGCCGCAATCAAGACATTTGCAAAACGACACTTGGGTGGTCCTTGTTCAATAATTTTCTCATGTAATCGCAGCATTCTGGGACCGAACCAGCTTGTAAAACAAAGGTCCATGTGGGCATACAAGCTACCGAGGCTTGTACAAATATTTCAGAACTTCAAATATTTGAATGAATATTAGCATATTTAAATTTGCTTCAATTTAAGTTATTGCAAATTTTCAAGTATTCAAAATGAAAAATAAAGTGTATATTATTTTGCATGTAACCCCCTGCAAAAGTGCTTTCCCTGCTGTGGAGCACTGTTGTGAAGCCCCACATCAACATTCAATAAGCGTATCACCCCCCCCCCCCCCCCACCCCCATCAATTCTTCCTTTCTTCCTGTACCTCACATGTGACACGACAATCATGCATGCTTGAGTGAACTAACAGTTTAACACAGTAAACATGCCGACCTGCAGCGCCCCGGGCTGTCGAAGTGGCATTGCCTCTGAGGGATAGCCACTTCCTCAGAAGTATGGCTACTTTGACAGCTCGGCGCACTGCAGGTCGGCATACTTACTGTGGTAAACTGCTAACACATGCAATCGACGGCACTTTTTCAAACCACCAAATTACCCTGGAGTTCTCAAAGCCTAGACAGCAGCTATTCCAGGAAAAGCCTTCCAGTTGCCAGCCAAGACCAACACTTACTTTAGAAATCCGAGGACCTAATTACTTGCTATGAGCACATCGTAGGTGGAAATGTCAAAATTTCATAAGGTATGTGGAAACCTAAGCCCAGCGCTGTTCCACGAGTTTTTCCGAATATTCCTGCACACTTGTCAAAATTAGCGGCATTAAAGTGCAAAAGGAAACCACCGAAACTTAGAGAAACTGCGAATTCCTACACTCGCCTACTTCATGCCCCCTCTTCCAGCATAAATGGCATACTACTGGTTCAGTAAAACTTGTAGCTGGGCGAGTTGGTTCACAATTAAGGGTTGCACTTGTCCCTGTCTCTTATTTTCTGTGTCATCTGTATTTGCACACTGCAGTTTACCCCCACTACTGGTGTTTCTTGTCTACTATTGCTCGTTCAGCAGTTGACTGCTATGTGTCCTGGTAGATCACACGGCAAACACCGTTGCTGTGCCCTTGCTTTACTCTTTGGCGTCTCATTCCTAGCCTTTTCCTCAGGGTTGTCACTGTCCCCTTTCTCCAGATTTCTGAACCCTTGAGCCTCGAGAAACTGATCTACCTGCGCTATCATGTGCAGCTTCTTCTCTTTCAGAAAGACAGTTAACTTGCTGCTGCAAGGGTACAGGAACTGTTCGGCTACTATCCGATCACAGACCCCTTCTTATGTTTTTCCTGTCTCTGACAGCTCGATCCACCAATCAAAGTAGTTCGTAAGGCGGCAGGCAAACTGCTTGTCAGTTTTGAAGTTCTCAGGTCTACACGTTCGGAATTTCTCGTGAAAACCTTTGGCGGTTAGCCAGAATCTTTGTAATAAAGTTCTCTTTACCAGATCGTAGTCTAATGAGTCTTGGGCTCGCAAAAACCAAACACAGTTAACACCTCTCCCACACAAGCTCAGGGCAGTAAATTCTGTAGCAATACTGTCAGCTGTATCATTTCCGTTGACATGCCAAACATGATGTCACACACACAATGTTGTCAATAATTCTCGTTAGCCAGGTCAGTCTTTCAAGGCGATCTTTAAAATTCATTTCCATACAATTATTGCATCTCTCAAGCCAGTAATTTGGCATAAATGGCAGAAATGTGCAAAGAAAGTACCCAGTAAATTTCATTGCTCTCCATTGACCTCGAAAAATCGCTTGAGTTAGCCTTTAAGAGCTTTGCCAATTATGAGTAACGGCAGCTTCTCTTCACCTGTGACATTTGCCCCCAAAAGACACTGACCCTGTCTTTTCATTGTTTCACTCCCAAGCACGCTCCACCCTTTGGCTTCAAGGTGCGGCTCGATAACATTTTATAAAAATGTGCTGCCTCGTGCTCCTGCACCAATTGTCTGTAGTCGACAGTGCCGCTCTCGCCGTGCACCCACATGGCACCACGCTGTTCCCCCCCCCCCTTTTTTTTTTGAAGCGGTCAAACCAGCCACTGCTGCAGCTGAAGTCCATGTGCCCCATTTGCAAGGCCAGAGTGTCTGCCTTCTCCATCATTATTGCTGTTGCAATGGGAAGGTTGGTGGCTCTGGCATTTCGCAGCTATATCATCAACGCTGCTTCAACCTCCGGGAACTTCGACCCTCAAACTTGCTTCCGCTGGCTGAAGAAGCTCTAGTAAAATTCAAACAGCACCTTCTGTTTGTTTTTCAGCACCGTCGAAAGCGTTGATAAAGAATGTCGAATTCCTACACAATGCTTAATTTCGTTCGGCCTCCTTTTTCTGCTTCCTTAAAGGGAACATGAAATGGATGGTTTTGGCGACTCTGCACAAACACATTGGACTGGTAGGTCAAGCCCCAAGGGTTATTCAAAGACAAATTGAGCTCTTTGCATAAACTGTGTAGTTTATTACTGTTGAGACGCGTCGCTCGGCAGAGCTGCGCAAGTGAACAACTCGCGTCCCAAACAACAACTGACTTTTATTATCCCCCTTCCTCTCGAAGATAACTTTCTCGTGCGGGCGCATGCGCTCTCTGCACCGCACACAGAAGCACCGCTTTGCGTCGCCACAGTACTCCCCCCCTAGTGAGTGCGCGCACAACGACCGCACTTGGACGACCCACTGCGGTTCATAAGTTCATGCGCACCGGGGGTCTCGTACACCGTCCACTCCGCGTAAACCGTTTGAGGACTTGTTGGGGCTGCGCTACGTGGTCTGCCGGGGGTGCCTGCGAAGATGGAGCTCGAGGTGGTGCAGGTGCTTCGCTGTCGGAGTCCACGTGTGCTGATTTTACGCAGTCTAGAGAAACCATATCGTGACGACCACCTCTGTCGATTGTAATGTGCTTGTCTGCCCGTCGCAGCACCTTGAAAGGCTCGTCGTACGGGGGCCGGAGTGGAGGCTGTACGGCGTCGTGCCTCACAAACACGTGAGAGCAGGAGGAGAGTTCCCAGTCCATGTAGACTGGCCGGGCTGCGGGCGGACGCGGAGGAACAGCGCGTAGCTTGCTCATGATGTCTCGCAGTCGCACGGCGTAGTCTGCGTTCGCGTACACGTTTTCGTCCTTACTGGTAGTGAAAAACTCTCTGGGAGGCAAAGCGTTGTTCCGTACACCAGTTCAGCGGAGCAGCATCCAATATCTGCTTTCAGAGCCGTCCTAACGCCCAACAGAACAAACGGCAGTGCCTCTACCCAACTGTGACTCGCAGTAGCCGTCAGGCTCGTCTTCAGATGGCGATGGAACCTTTCCACTATACCGTTGCTTATTGAATGGTAGGCAGTTGTTCTGATGCGGTGAGTACCCAAGAGCCGGGTGACGCTTGCGAACAGGGCGGACTCAAACTGTGTTCCGCGATCCGTAGTCACGGTTGCCG